CATTATTTTTTTTTTTGTATTCTTTGTTTTCTTTTTTTGTCGTTTCTTTTTTAATGATTTTAATTCCATTCTTTCCTCCTGTTTACTTAAATATAAAAATACATAGCCAGTCTATACATAGAGCGTGCAAAGTGGCACAGTGAACTGAGTTACCAGATATCCTGGATGGTTAACTACCGCTCTCAGTATTCGTCGGTGGTTCAGCTTCGTCGTGACTTTTGCTCGAGTTACTCGACACGGGGAGACCTGAGGTTTTTGGCAGCGGGTTAGTTACACTATCACTATTGGATGTTGTCGCGTTATACATCGAGTTATCAAAGTGTTGCAAGCATGGAAATTCCGGACCAGGCAGCAGTAAAGTAGTTTGGGTGGGAAGATTAGTTAACGATACCATTCCTGGTGTCATCATCTGTTTGTTAAAGCAACTCCTTAATGCCTCTTCGATTAAATTCGCTATCTTATCACGATCGTTCTGCAGAAAAAAACATTGTACTCCCTTAACTTTAAAATCTTGTTTACGTGTGAACGCATATGAATTTTACACGTATGAGAAGGTAGAGATTCGAGCATCTCGCGTACTACACCAAACGTTCCAATTTCTCATTTTCGAAACAAGTTAAATTCAAACACATTCCCAACGTCCTAATGGTATCGATTAGATAAGAGATAATAGAATGTGTTCAAGAGACGCCCAACTTCTTGCTTCCCATCATCGCGAATGTTGTTTAACAAGGGACAGTGTAATTACCTCGTTAATGAACCCAAAATGTACAAGTTCCTGCGCGAGAAGCAGTGACGTATCTACTTGGCTCACAGGACACGTTAATTGCCTATTCATTTTGTCGTCCATTCGTAACAATATTGTCATCTATAAAATATATATACCAGGCGTGAGGAACACGAAAACGATTTCGGTCAGCGATTATTCGTACAGGTTAACATTTCGTTTATCACTCACAAGTAATTCACAACTCTCTTCTCTAGGCTTAACGTTACACATCATATTAACTACTCTTCGAGACTCCACGTCCACTGGCTCCGGCGTGACCGACTTCACCGATTCGGTCACCTCGGGCGATATCGCCCTGGGCCGAACTGGCGGTGGCAACTTCGCCATAAATGCTGTCAATGGATATATTCCATATCTGTCGACAGGAAATTTTATTGGTACCATTAACGTGCCAATGATCACGATCAAAAACTCACCCCTGCGACAACTGTCTACCACCATCAGGTTATACTCACTTTACATCTTCGACAAACTTCTCTAATTTTTCTGTAACAGGGATATCACTTAACCGAATCTGCTGAGGCGGTTGACCTTGATATTTGATTTCGGCCACCACCGTATCCGGCCCGTATAGCCTTTGCAGTACCTCGTCGGTTATCGTTTCTGAAATGTTGGCTGAAAGAACAAACGATATCACTGAACCGTTCCATTATCATTCCCTCAAAAGATGCTGTTTCATTGTCTAATACTGAACAAATTTCGCTATATCTAATACACGTTGCAATGCGTTGGAAGAAACATTGTCAGGGCAAAGGAAAAAATCTTATCTCAACCCTGAATAGAGTACATGAGTCATTTGCATATATAAACGACCAATCAGTTGTTTACCTGTTCCAATATTCTACAAGAATGAAATTTTGTTCGCAGTTCAATTTTTTATATAATTTCCCAGATTATAGGCGTGAATGACCCATGTGTGCTGTTCAATGATCCTAGAAATATGTGCGCCATGAAACTTACTAGCTGAATTAACCAATGCATGGGCTGAGAGTAATTTCAATGAATGTACTTCAAACAGGACAGGATGAAAAAGGAGTTCCCTGGCACTTGGTCTACTAAGTGGGTCTACTTGAAGACATTTCCGGATGAAGTCTTTCTGTTGGGCATCGTCTAATGATTCTATCGTTTTTCTAACGTTCTCCTCGGTTACGATCGTTCCACTGTCACCGTTCCCTTGGATTTCTAACGCGGCCATTTCCAGGGCACACATACCAAACGAATAAATATCAATGGCAGGTGTTACAGAATCTGCAAGAAAATACAGACAACAATTTTCATACGTGTTAACTTTTTCAAACATAGTGTCGTTGCAATCAATCGCTTACTTCCATATTCAGGTGCTACAAAATGCATGTTCTTCATGTTTGCTCTACAAGTTTTCACGTGATGGTGGATTGCATCAGGCGCCACTGCAATTAGATGATAAATAAAACAACATTAATTTCGTGCATTGCGCTTTCCAATACGCACACACGAAGGTGATATATGTTTATATAATAGATTTCGACAAGCAATGTGTTAGAGAATTGTTTGTACGAGGCAGCAGGAATTCTATGAATCATCCTGAATAGAAAAATATAAGAAAACAATTGTAGACGGTCTTCTGTCCGAATACCCGCCACCTCTGCCACAACAAGTAAATTAATAAACCTCTAGAAAAATTGTGTTGTAACTGAAAATTTATCCTAAGAGTAACTTGAGCCCTCATACGGTTAATATATTTTTTTTCTCTTTTTTTTTTGGACACATTTATATGTATGAAAATGTCTCTTAACGAGGAAAAGACAAGAGACAAATTGCTGTTATTCAAATGTGAACTGAAACATACATGTTTGGTCGTGTTAACACTTTGAAGAGACACTTTCATCGAGTACGGTGGAACTTTTAGCAAAAGGAATAGGACACAAGGATTTCGTTTTATTGGTGGTCGGGTGTACAAAACAAAAATATTAGAATACAATGGAGATGCGTGCGCTGAATGGTTCAAAAGGACCAAGAGACACAAAACGCTCTGCCCCTTATCGGATTCATAATCCGTTAACTCGAGGGATGAATAGTGCAATATAATGGCACTAACGATATTAAACTAAAGAAATATTAATATTCTGTATTAACGTATAACCAGTCTACCAGTAATTAAGATGTAGATGTATATATATGTATATAATATATACATACATAAATGGGAGTGTTTACCTCATTACGCCTAAATTACTTAGCTGGCAATAGTCGTTGGTTATCTGCCAAATGTATTTCCATCAAATTCACCATGTTTTCACAATTTACACCAATCGAAGAAGGTCGCTGTCGCTTGATCTATTTCCTCCGGATGGGCGAAAGTACGATTGTACTTCCTCTCTCTTCGAAGACTTTGCTGTGTTTTTTTCATTATCTAGATTAGCCTATCTGCTACAATTAAAAATGAGGACTCAAGTTACTCCTAATATGAAAGAACGGTTTATAATACACAATCTTTCTAACAGATTGACATTACTAATGGACAATGTACAACAAAAATTGATATGCACGTAGAACGAATGTAAACACAGTTACAGTGATTATACGAAACGGTTCTAAAGTGATTGACTCAATATTAAAAGTGAAGCGCTAATATATCACATTAAGTTTCCAGTAGAGTTATCAGGGATATCCGTAGAAATAGTATTCCTTCGCCTCATGTCATTGATCTCGTTACAAGGCTCAATTAATATTATCTCACTTATGAAAGATTACATTATAGAACCAAATGAAACTTTCTTTGAACGTCACAATTGAATCGCACCCTCTTCCGCACGTTATTATCTTTTATGATTTATATCAAAGTGTATTGTTCGTACATCAGTTTAGTTCGATTATATTTATCTGTCAGACAGAGATTAATTTCGTAATGACGTAAAAAAGTTATATTAATTACTGCCGATTGGCTTACCGTACAAGACAATCACAGTAATAGTAATATACGTACTTTGCATACACCCCATGTAAAAACAAAATAAATACCAGTTAGGTTTACAGTTGTTATTTTAACTTCGCCCGCTCGGTTGTTAATAATT